AGGCATGCACAATATATCTTACCGAAGCCCACAAGCCAAAGTAAAGTAAAAAAAAACAAATTGTTTATTAATTATTAATTTTGAAAGTTGTTATTTACAACAACAGGAATTTCAATTTTCAACGAGAAAAAGTATGCGACGAAATTTCACATTATGAAAACTTCTCGCGAGAAAGTTTTTCCTTTATTATTCAGGAAGTTTTTCCAAAAAGAATTAAACCGATTCGATGAGAAATAAAGAAAATAAAAGAAAAATAGCGAAACAGTATTTTCGTTCGCAGCGAAAACCCTGTTCGGCAGCCATGTTTGTCATATGACTTGTAACGTACGCACGCACACATTTCTATTTTACACAGCAGCGTGAGTGTGTGAGCGTGCGTAAGCTACGAGTCATATGATAAACATGGCTGCCGAACAGGGTTTTCGCTGCGAACGAAAATACTGTTTCGCTATTTTTCTTTTATTTTCTTTATTTCTCATCGAATCGGTTTAATTCTTTTTGGAAAAACTTCCTGAATAATAAAGGAAAAACTTTCTCGCGAGAAGTTTTCATAATGTGAAATTTCGTCGCATACTTTTTCTCGTTGAAAATTGAAATTCCTGTTGTTGTAAATAACAACTTTCAAAATTAATAATTAATAAACAATTTGTTTTTTTTGACTTTACTTTGGCTTGTGGGCTTCGGTAAGATATATTGTGCATGCCTAAAAAAAATCAGTTCATTTCATTAATATTTGACTGAGAAATGACGATATATTTATCAAAAGGTAATTAATTTTTCAGAAAAAAAATTTTTAGTTTTTATTTTTTAGTATTAATAACTTGCATTCTAGAAAAAAATTGTAAATAGAAAAAAGATGTATTTTTTTCTCCTCTACAACGTCATAATTTTTAAATATTTTTTTTTTGAGTTTTAAATTTTCATGACATAACTGACGAAGGGACTATCTTCTGCATGAGTTCGAGCGAAGAGCCGGTTATAGAATCCAGCTCCTCAATTAGATGTAGTTGTTGCGATTTGAGGCTGAATATATTTACTAGAGGTGTAGAGTTTATAGTTTTTTGTCAAGTCAATTATGAACTTTAATTACGAATTGACAAGAAACTATAAACTTACACCTCTAGTAAATAATAATAATATCCTTTCTTAAAAAAGACATGGAGTGGAAAGGTCGAATGTATCGAAAAGTATCGAAGTAAAGAATGGGCAATGAGAATGTAAAATCTTAATAGAAGGGTGTTTTTAAAATTGTTTGTACATGTGAAGGTGGCGCTGCAGTCGTATGTTATTTAAAAAGAGCGCGAATATATAAATTTTATTTTTGTTAAGAGAAAGTACTCATAATAAATCTTATTTTGCATTGTCAAAAAAAACGTCAACATTTCAAATATAAATAAGCAAATTATTAACTGAAAAAATTTGAATATTATTATTAATGAAATAATGGACTTGGACAATGGACATATAAAAACTAGCACCGTAGACGGCCGCTTGCGGCCGTCGGAGGAGATAGTCTTAATAAAAAAATAATAATAGTAATAACGCATCCATCCATCGACACTCTTGGAAACTATATTTTAGCACTTCATTTGGGCTGTTTTCGGCACTCGCCCGAGTTAACTCTGGGTTAACGGTGATTGGTTGGATCTAAAAGAATGTCAATGATAATTGGATAATCGTAAACTCTAAGGGTACGGTCCCATGTTGAGCAGAAAACACAATGCAAAGCAGAATTTCGTGAGAATTTCTCGCCGTCAACTTCATAAATTTATCAAATACACAGAGACACTTGACAGACTAATGTCACTCACGAAACATAAAGTTAAGTACAAAATGTACTGTCCAATATCAACACATGTTCAATTTTTACGAATTTAAACGAGATATTAGAGTAAAAAGCTAGAATATGGGTGTCGCACACCCAGGGTGCGGTTTAAGGGTAAAGTATCCCAGTAAAAAAAACTAATTCAAACGAATTGAAATGAATTAAGATTTTTGGTAGAAAGCGGGATTCATTCAAGCTCTTTGTATATTCGATTGAATTCGATTCAATTTGCCTAAAGTTGTGCAAACGAATTCGCATTCGTAAGAAATGACCAAGGCATGCATTGAATTCGTGCTGACGATTTAAAAAATATTAAAGGCCCCAAAACTTGTCCATTGAATTAGTTTGAATAGAAGGTTTGGAAGTTCAATAGTTTGACGAATTCAGGAAAATTGCAACATAGCTCCAATTCGTATTTGTCACAAAGCGGGATTCACTGAAACTCTTTATTGTGAATTCTTTTTAATTTATTTGAATTAGTTTTTGTTTACTGGGATGCTATTAGTGGGAAAAATAGTTGTACTTTCAAAATAGAAAATAGAAAAATTCTGATTTCAAGATAGCGGAATCAAAATTTTGGAAAAGTAAATGCATTATAGTAAAAAAATCAAAATTTACACCAACCTTTAAAAAGTTTGCAAATTCGATTCAAAATGTATACTCGGGGGTTTTTGGGGTCGCTGATGACGATTCCGATGTCAGTTTTTCAAAATTCAAAATGGCGGATCCAATATGTCGGACATTTTTTTTTTAATTTGGATTCGCTTGAAACTTGTCACTCGGGGGTTTTCGAAGTCGCTTATGACGATTCCGATGTCAGTTTTTCAAAATCGGATCAAAATCGGATCCAATATAGCATATCGTGGAGATCCACTTCACCCATGAACTTATTGGAAAGGTGAAATGCGTTAGGAAATTTTAATGGAATTTCAATTTTTGCTCTCTCTTTATAGCTGTTCTATGAAACCTTAAGAAAGGTTTAAAAACAATTTTTAGATCTGAAAAAAATATTTTTAAAAAATGTACTTATTTTTTGGGTTTTTTTTTAAAATAGCCGCCATATTGGATTTTGTATTGACCGAATCGCTATTTTGACCCCAGAATATGAAAGAGCGATCCCCAAAACCCCCTACATCTCATTGCTGCTAAAATTTATTGTCTATAAATACTTCGAATCGTGTATTAAAGTCCAAGTAAAAATTTTGGTCATTTGGGCATTAATGGGTTAAAGTAATAAAAAATGCCATTATTATTATGATAATAACAATTAAAAACAGTTCTTATTAGTATTATTATTATAACAAAAAAATATTTATAATTAGTATCATTATTATTAATTTTAATATTAGTAATTATTTTAAAACAAAAAAACAGTTTAGATTTCTGTAATTTCTAACCTAAATAATATATATGTTCCGAAATTTTAATGTTTGAAAACTACTGTAATATTTATAAGCAGCGACCACAAAAACCCCCCGAGTAACCATCAGTTTCAAGCAAATCCGTTGAAGTTTTGAAAAAAGTGTGCGCCATATTGGATTCGCCATTTTGAATTTTTGAAAACTACTATCATATTCATAATTAGCGACCCCAAAAGCCCCCGAGTAATCAGTTTAAAGTAAATCCGATAAAGTTTTAAAAAAAGTGTCCGCAATATTAGATTCGCCATTTTGAATTTTTGAAAACTACCATCATATTCGTAATCAGCGACCCCAAAAACGCCCAAGTAAAAAGTTTCAAGGGAATCTATCAAGTTTTTAAAAAAATGTGCACTTTCAGTATATTACTTATTAAAAAGTCAACTTTGAACGCCATTTTTGATCCGCCATTTTGCTTTTTTTAATTTTATTTTACTACATTTTAGGTTAGACTTTTTTGACGTGTTATTTTTACCTTTGAGACGTATTCCTTTGCCATAAATAAGAAAAAAATTTGATTTTTGAAAAAATACTTTAAAAAGTCGTGTTTTTTATTAAATAACTGTATGTAATTTGTTCATTTATAAACTTTCAATATTTTTTATTGCAGCATTCGAAAAAGCGGTTCCTGAGCTTTAGGAATTGTTATTTTGTAAAATTTTTAGCATTCCGTTTTCATATATCTTCTATTACAAAAACTCAAAAAACAATTACATTACACATAGTATCGCCAAATGAAAATTGATATAAAATGAATATTTTCGACGTGTCCTTTTCTTCAACTAAGATGCGAGGTGTCCTCTTTTTCAACCAAAATTCGAGGTGTCCTTTTTTTCCACTAACCCAGCGGCATAGTTATATTGTTTAAATTCTTTCTCAGAACAGAGATCTCAAAGCAGAGATCAAATTCTCACATATAGCCATTCGGAAGAGCTTCAAAAAGTATAGTTAGGAATGATGTTCATTTTTAACACCGCAAAAGCGTTAAAATGATCAGAGTTTGAAATTTCAACGGTTTCCTTAAATTAAACAATGACATTTTTCCTACAAACTAACACGAGATCAAAAGCTAACTTATGCCATTCGAAAAGGACATCAAAAAATGTGTTAGGATTTGGTTTCTCAAAACTCGACAAAAATTCTTAAACATAATCAAAGTCCTAACATATCGAAATCATTTCTTTTATTGTGCGTCAAAAATTTTTGTCTCCAATTTTCAAGTTATCTATGATTTTTGGTAGATATTTTTCAAAAAAATGTATTATTGAAGTAATCAGGTGTTGAAGTTTTAGGTCATTTTATTATTACTTTGAAACATTTTATCTTTTTCCTGGAACTCGAGTCAATTTTCGCTTGCATTTTGGCAGAACAATTTACACAATTTCTATAATATTGAAGGTTACTGATTTTTCTTTTTTTTTTAAATTAATCATTGGAGTTTTGCGCATCAATACATGGTAATTTAATCTTTTAAAAACATTGAGAAGATTCTTCAATTTGCAATTGTTTAAAAAAATTGTTAATAACAATTATAAATTTTTATTTTTTAGCAATCGCTTAGTTTCATCTTTAAAGTATAGCCTATAAGCTTTAATTTAAAAAAAATTTATTTAATTATCTTTATTTCTTTCAAAGTATAATAATAAAAATAAAATAAAATTGTAATTATCTCGTAAAATAAAATCTTAAAAGTTGTGTTTTAATACGGACGTACATACAATACATTCCATGTTTAAAAAATATTTGTATTATTTCAGTGTTTTAAATGATTATGGCGTTTCAAACTTTGCTCACATAATGGAAATTAGTGCTCTTGGAGATGCAGAGGAGAGCAATGTTCTTTTAATTACAACAATAACATTGGGTGCATGTCTTGGAATTCTAATAATTGGAGCTGCTACATATTTTACTCGGCAGAGATTATGTAAATAAATAAATTCATATGTATTTATGACAGTGACAACCACTATTTATTCTTTAACGTTTCTTAATAAAAAACAAAGAATAATAAAATTTAATGTTAAATTATTATGTGTTGCAAAAGGAAAAAATATATTCTTTTGTTTAAACTACCCTCTTGTAAAGAGTCCATACTGTGAAAACGTTTAATTTAATTAGTCATTTTTAAGAGGTCATCTAAACAAATCAAAAATTTTTCTTTTTTACATTTTTGAAAAGAATAATGCTGTAACAAAAAATTAATAAAATTAATTAAATAATTTTTAAATCCAGTACCACTCACATAATTTTTCTGGCGTGAAGAATATGTCTGGTGGGTCTATTCATACAGAGAATCCATTTAAATCCATCGACGATTAGGCGACAGCGAGTCGGGACAATTGGAACCTAAATCCAAGACCCGCAAGGTAGTTTGGCGATGGTGAAAGGAAGAAGCTCCTTCACTAAAAGAATCGGATGAATTTTGAGCAAAACGGGGTTAACGTGTCAAAAAATGACATTTTTGTCGTTTTCAAACCGCTGTAAAAAATTAACGGGACGTGATAAACATCTCAAATAGAGTTTAAAAGGGAGCCCAAACTTTTAACTTTAATTTTAAATTTCCAAAAAGTAACCAGACTAGTGAAAATTTTATTATACCTGTATTCACATAACATTTTTTTGTAATCTGCGTCGAATTCTTCAATCGAAATATTCATTTTGTTTAGGTCGATAGTGTTTCTTACAATTGAACATCACTAAGGTAAGTTCTTTTGATTATTAAAAAAACTGAATATAGTTTCCTGTCGACTAGAAACTGGAGTTTACAAAACAAGCTGTAAATCCAGATGTTCATTACATGAACTTCCTCGTGAAGGAAGCATAAGGGTGATTTTCACGTAACGGTGCAATTTCAAGATCAGTTTTAAAAGAAAAAAAATTTTGTTTTTTTAATGTTAAATATGACTTTTCCTCATCATTAGGGCATAATATAGTTGTAATTTGAACGATTTTACTACAGCTATAATTATAAAAAAATTATAACAAATTTTCGAAAATTGGCTGCCACGGAGCTGACCACCCTATATATATGCATTGAATAATACTGCCGTCAACTGGGGCTACTTTATGTACGCGAGGTATTTAATATATAAAATTATTAAAAAGAACTTCTTTGTCAAAAAACCAAAAATAAGTTAATTAAAATCCTTAAAACGATTAAAACTTCAACCGGTGAGGAACATAACGGCAAAAAATTAACTTTAATTAATATTTATAAGTTTTTCAAATTAGTTTTAAAACTATTTTTCTCGTTTCTCTAATAACTTGAAAAGTGTATTAGATATTAAATTGTTATTCATTTAACTTTAAAATATTAATTTCAAGTTTTTGAAAAATATCATATTCAAAACGTTTAAAAAAGCTCCTATTGAAATGATGAGATTCAAAGTTATTTACATGTGTTTAAATGATAGTATTATAATGATTATAATGTATTATTGTAAAATGTATATTTAAAAAGAAAAAGTGTTATTTATTTTCTGAGTAATATAAAATTTGAAGAAAGGTTGTTAATTTTTAATAAATCATGATTTTAGCAAAATCTTAATGTTTTATTTTACATTTTGTTGTATAATATTTACAAAATTTTTGTTTAATATCTTATTCTTTTTTAATTTACTTTGAAATATCTACACAAAAGATTTAATGAATAAGAAAGGATCAAAAAAATGTTTACGTAACATAAAAACAGAAAGATCAATGCACAAAGTAGCCCCATCCCGGGGTCTATTTTGTGCACAACTTTTAATGACTACAACTCTGACAAAAAAATTTATTTCATTGACTAACTCATAGGAAACCTTCAGAAGGAAGTATAACATAAGCAAAAGTTGATTTTCTTTTAATTCTGAATTTGAATAAATCACTGAGCGTCACTGAGTTAAAAAAAGCATTTTGATGCACAAAATAGCCCCAGCAAAAATATTTACTATTTACTATCAGCTTGACATAACCAGAAAATTTTATTTTCATAACATTAGGAAATTAGCGCATAAAACTAATTTCAGAAAAGTATTCACAAATAAAAGCGTTACGATCAACAGTAATACTGTGCTTCTGCATGGTTGACATAAAGACATTTTAAATTAAGCACCAAAAGTAAAGGCGTGTTTTTTCGAATAATAAGGTGTTTTTTAATAAGTCAACGGTTGCCGAAGCACTGAAATATAAAAGGACACAACTATGTCTGTCCTCTTCTATAATATGTGTTATTGTAGCAACTGTTGATCCATGAATTTGCACCTTCACACTTGTTATGAACACTGAGAAGAGTATCGGTAGGAAGTGTTTTGGTAAAAAAGGACTTTACACTCATTAACTCAAAATGCTATTTATTATAAATCAGAACTATTATATATATATATTACAAGAATTTACATCTCACTTGGAGCACGGTCGAATGACTACTAACTCAATAAAGTCTCTTGAAATGATAGGTGGGGAACCGCCCCCCTTTTATATACGTCACAATTATCAAAGCTAATTCCCATGAAAATTTAAAATTCTACTAGCAATCATAACATTCTCCCACCTTTTGAGTTGTCAAACTCAAAACACACTTCTTTCATAATAGAACTCTAAAAAAAATTAAATCTTTTTACCCTTTTTCACAATTTTTTAAAGTCCAAAATAAAATTACATATATGTTTTATTTAAAACTTGAAACGATCAGGAACTTTTATCATACGTCCGCTCCTGGTATGTTTTTCAACATTCGAATTTTCATTCTCGACATTATTTTTCTTTGGTTTTTCATTTCTCAATTCGTCACACGCAATCGGTGATTTATTCACACATTTTTCGCTCATCACTTTCACAGAATTTATTGCCGGTATCGGACCGGCTACTTCCAGAGGGAATAAACGCTGTACAGGCCTTATCAACTCACCGGTTGCTGTTTTCAATTTTACTACGCGCACTTTTCCATCTCTTCCCGGCAAAACCTCGAGTACTCTAGCCAAAGGCCAATTTAACCTCTTCTGATTCTCATGACCTACTAACACAATTTCCCCCACTTTCACTTCACGGTCGTTCGACACTTGACGGATTCTCCCAGACAACTGACCGAGATATTCCGCTCTGAACCGTTGACGCAAGTCATCCTTGACTCTCTGTCGATACTCGAATCTTCTTCCTAAGTCAATCCTGTCGATTTGATCCAGGTCCATTACTCCCGTCTCGGTGACCTCCTGCAGGAACATAGCCGGTGTCAAGCAAGATATTTCCGAAGCATCGTCAGATAGGTAAGTAATGGGTCGACCATTGATTACTGCTTCACAGTCGCACAGGGTGGTATTCATTTCTTCATATGTGAGGGAGGCTTTTCTTAAAACTCTTTTCAAGAGGTCTTTTAAAATTCTGATGAGCCTCTCCCACCATCCTCCCCACCAGGCTGCAGAGGGAGGATTGAATCGCCACTCGATTTCGCGAATCACACTGAATTTTTCAATCTCTTGCCAATTCACCTTTTTTAGAAGATTATTTGTGCCCTCAAAATTAGTGCCATTGTCCGAATAGACAATACTCGGACGCCCTCTTCTGGATATAAATCTTCTTAAAGCCTCCAAAAATCCAGCCGTTGTTGCTCTCGTAACCAACTCCAGATGCACTGCCCGATACACTGCACATGTGAATAAGCCGATCCATGCTTTTTGTCCTCCAACTAAATAGACAGGTCCCGCATAGTCGATTCCCACAATCTCGAACACTTTTGCATCGCGAACACGAGCCTCAGGTAACGGAGCCGGCGCGACCTCCAGATGTTTGGCTTTGTGTCTTTTGCAGATCACACACTTATTTATCACAGAACGGATTGCACGTCTTCCCGTGAGAACCCAAAATCTTTCTCTCAAATTCGTTAATGTCCCCTGAACCCCAACATGTTGTAACTGTACATGATGAAATTCAATTAATTTTCTTACGATATCGTGACTAGGATCCAACACTACCGGGTACCGAAAATTTTCCGTATCTTTTCGATTGGAGATGAGTGTTTGTAGTCGAATTAATCCACTTTCATCAACACAAGGGTTGAGACATTTGATTTTTGCATCGGACTCACTTTCAAACGTCTCTTTTTGTACAACGCGCAACACTTTAACTTCCGCCTCGCAGAATTCCTGTTTTGACAGCTCGCCATATTTTCTCTTATCTCGTTGTTTTGAAGCATTTGATGTAAAGCGTCTTGTCCACGCAATAATTCGAATAATTTTTATATATGATGAATAACGCGTTAATCGTTCACTGAATTGTTCTTTATTACTTCCGGGACACTCGACTGTCAAAAGTGATGCACAATTTTCGGTTTCGTTTAAAATTCTCGCTGATTTCTTTAAAGCTGAATTAACTATATCTTCGCTCGCCACACACTCATCGGAAGGCCACTGATTAGGAGGGGAGTAGAGCCACTGAGGCCCCTCCCACCATTTCGACTCGAGTAATTCTTGCGCTGTACAACCGCGCGACGGCAGATCAGCTGGGTTGATTTTTCCAGGGACGTGTTTCCACTTCTCGGGATCACTCAACTGTCGAATCTCCTGCACTCTGTTTGACACGAACACTTCCCAAGGACAGTTTCTTTGTATCCACGCAAGCACCGTGGTAGAGTCACTCCAAAACTGCACATTCACTTGTTTGAGTTCTAGAGCTTTTGTCACTGAGTCCATAAGACGCGCACCCATACATGCTGCTAAAAGTTCCAATCGCGGTATTGTTAGACTCGGAAGTGATCTGTTTTTTGTTGTGATGCCCTTCGTAGGTGCAACTCTCGATTTTGCTTGTACTATCATAACTTTTACTTTGTCCTTGAATTGAGTACGTGCAAAAATTGCTGCACCATACGCCACTTTGCTTGCATCAACAAAAACGTGAAAGGTCACCGATCTCATATCACCCCCGCACATATTACGTGGTATTTTTACTTCTGACAATAGATGCAACTGTTTGTGCCACTCACCAAATGTACTGCTAATTTCTCTGTCCACCTCTGTGTCCCAGTCAAGATTTTTCAAACACACTAACTGTAATAACAGTTTCGGTTTCAACAACACAGGGCAAACAAAACCAATCGGGTCAAACACTTTGTGGGAAGCGGCTAAAATAACTCGCTTTGTTATTTTTGCAGGTATTTCTTGGCTGAACGATCCGGATGCCAGTTTCAACACATCTTCACTTTTATTCCAGTTTAGGCCGAGCACACCAGTTTCTTGATCGGAGTTTTCTCCCGAGTACTCCCACCCTCTTAATTCGAAACCTCTCTGCTGCATAACTTCCACTGCAATCTCCTTGAACCGAACTGCTTCTTCTTTCGAATCAAAACTAACCATGCAATTGTCAACATAGAACGCCCTTTGCAATTTTTTTATCATTGTTTTCTTTGTTTCTGGCAGTTCCTCCTTTAATGCGTCACAAAGGAGCATATCGATAGCCGCACCCAGCAAAAATGGGCTACTAGACACTCCAAAAACTACGCGCACGTGACGATACACTAGTAACTTTGACGCGTCACTGTCCGTCCACCATAAAAATCGCAAATGATCCCGATCCTCAGGCCGCACGCAAATTTGGAGGAAGGCTTTTTTGATATCAGCCACTGCACCGACACTTTTTTCACGAAACCGTATCAACATTGTTGGCACAAGTTCAATTAGATTCGGTCCCGTTTCAAGACACTCGTTTAACGACGGAGAATTCTTTTTCTTCGCGGAAGCATCATACACTGGTCGAACACGCGTTGTACTGTTTTCCTTGATCACCGGTCTGTGTGGGAGGTAGTGACCTTTGACACTTAGTTCCCCATCAGGCACCTTTTCAATTATCCCCTCACTTTCCCAGTCTTTGAAAACTCGATCATATTCGACGAAAAGATTTTGATCAATCAATTTCTTTGTCATGGGAACTAGTCTCCTCTGCGCCACATCGAAATTATCAGGTAAGGGGGGGTGATTGACTTTCCATGGTAGGGATACTTGAAAACGTCCCTCTCCCTCAACCGTTGTAGACTCTTGAAATTCTCTCCTCACGTCCTCTTGATGCTCTCTCTTCGTTTTCGTCTCCGTCGGATCAGCGATACCTATAACGTCGAGGTTCCAGAGGTCTGAAACACTTGCCTCGCGCACAAACAACGACGCAACACACAGGGCTGTATTCACCTTTGCTATGTCCTTTTCTACTAACTTTTCGCCAATCAAGGTCCATCCCAACTTCGTCTCGATTGCGGTGGGGCCACTCATCATCTCGAATGATTTTCCGGTTTGTAACTTTCCTAGAAAATCTGCCCCAATCAGAATCGCGATCGGTTCACCCGGCGTTCCCTGATCAGAGAGTACTATGCCCTTTTTTTCCAGTTCTTCGATCCACGGACCGTTATCCACACAAGGAATGTTCTCAACGATCGTGTCTCGCGAAAGGGCCACGAAATTGCACTTAAATGTTTCACTTAAATTGCTCACGTGAATATCGTACGCTTTGTGATTTTGCGGTTCCGTTCTTGCACCCCCGAAAAGTAAATGTATCATCCTTTGTTGACCAACTGCGTTAAAACCCATTTTCTCTGCTATTGACGTCAAAATGTATGAACGATGAGAACATGAGTCCAAAGCGACTCTCACTATACATTGTTTTTCACCGTTGTTTAACTTCACTTTTAACGTCTGTAAGAAAATTTCGGGATTTCTCAGCATACTCAAGGGGTTCCTTTTTTGAACACTCACGGAGGCTACACCTATTTGTTCATCACCTCCTTTTGAAGTATTCAACCCGCGACACATAATAATCACGTGCTTCTTTCGACACCATCCGCACTTTTGGTTATACTTGCACCTTCGAAAATGATGTCCCGTTTTTAAGCAATTGAAACAGCCGTTTTTACTTTTCACGATTTTCTGTCGTTCCTCAAGAGACATGTTCTTTGCAAAACTACACTCAGCACTTTCATGTTCTTGATCACAGAAAATACAATTCGTTTTCTCTTTAATCGAAACCAATCCGGCTGCAGTCGGTATTTCCTCACTGCTAGGTTTTGATTTTCTTTTCACGAATTTTTCGTCACGCGCGACACTCTCGGCGGAAGTACTCGAAAATCCTCGCACTGCCAGCAAAATTCTTTCCTCATTCTCTACTTCGGAACGTAGAAACTTCATGAGGTTGGTTAATCGATCCTTCGCGACATTTTTTTTCTCTGATGACGAATATCTCTGCCAAGCGCGGAGCAGCTCTTCAGGTAGCGAGGACTCGACTAAAGGATACAAAATTGTGGCGCACTTGTCCGTTGTAACACCTAGTGATTCAAGAGCGCGCAACTGAGATTCTAGTTTATCGTATATTTTTGATAGTTGAAGTTTCGTATCCGTCCTTGTGGCATTGTTCAATACAAGCTCAAGGAGCGCTCTCACATATACTTCCACTAACATCTCTTCCCTTCCGAACCGTGATTGCAGTGCCGTGATAACTTTTTCGTAGTTCTCACTAGTACTCGGGTAACTGCTCACCAACTCGCTAGCCCTCGAATCCTTTACCATCGCCTGGATAAGGTATTGGAATTTGTCGCCTTTATCCATAGAATCATCTTCGTGGATTTTTTTAAACTGTGCCCAAAACCGAAGCCACTCGCGAACATCGCCACTGAATTTCGTTAATTCAATTTTCGGAAGTATGAATGATCGTTTTCCCTCCCCACTACCACAACACGATAGGACCGATACGCGTCCCGACATTTCGTCTGTTTGTGTCTGTGTAGGAACTGGCGGGAACAACACTCTCATTACTTCTGCTCGTGCGCGAAAGAACTTCGCCTTGTATCCATCAACGCTATCTACCTCTGCTGCGATCTCACTTTCAGCCATCTTGGCTTTGATCATATGCTCGAAAATGAATTTGTTGTAGGATTCTAATTCTCGGATTTTTTCTTCCAATAGGTCTAAACATGACTTCATCTCTCCAGGTTGGATATTTTCCGCTTTGAGATGTCGTTCTAGAGTAGTCATATTTCTTGTAAATGATGCGCGTATCACTGCACGTGCCGCTTTGTGTTCGTCCATTTTGGATAGCTACCTTTTTTGAAACCGTTTCACAAATTTACACCACGAATGCACTCAGTGTCCTGTCACGGTCGCCACTAATGTTATGAACACTGAGAAGAGTATCGGTAGGAAGTGTTTTGGTAAAAAAGGACTTTACACTCATTAACTCAAAATGCTATTTATTATAAATCAGAACTATTATATATATATATTACAAGAATTTACATCTCACTTGGAGCACGGTCGAATGACTACTAACTCAATAAAGTCTCTTGAAATGATAGGTGGGGAACCGCCCCCCTTTTATATACGTCACAATTATCAAAGCTAATTCCCATGAAAATTTAAAATTCTACTAGCAATCATAACAACACTGTACGCCACAGGCGCCACGGAGCTGAAATTTGACATTTAAACTAACCTAACTCCGACAATTCTGCAAAATAATTCTTTTCTTTGGGCAGATAATTTGTTTCTATTGTAATTTTCAAAAAAATCGTAATAATTACAACAGAGAGTGTTTAGATTAAAAGAATAGTAATACCACGGTACTGATCACTTTTTTTGTGACCTTCACATTTTCACAAAAAAAATTGTTTTTGAGTGTAGAACTTCTAATTTTTGAACCTCTTTTTTACTGATATTTGTTGCTAATGGATCTTATTTTAGATTGTAATTCTCAGATAACATTAAAATGTGCCATAAACAGTTAAATTATAGGGAAAAAAATCTTATTACAAAATTGAAAAAATTTGTGGACAAAACTATTTTACATTTTATTATTTTATAAGAAGTATTAGAAGATGCATTATATGTACAAATTGTTCACCTATATACATAATTCATATTACAAAAATTCTCGTTTCCAGTTTCGGCGTTTTCAATAAAATTTCTGAATTTTAACTTAAAATTTTAAAAAACGGACACGCCACGGAGCTGAAATTTTTGAGGGAATTCCGCAATTTATCAAAAATTATAATATCTATTTGTACATATTTGTGGTTGCGAATAGGTTTTATATATACCTGTGAAATGTATCCATACCCAAGCAAAAATTTTTTATTTTGAATGTGTTTTCTGTGACGCCGCCAAATATTACAGTTACGTGCAAATCACCCATAAACGATAAATATATTTCATTTTTAAATCATTTTTCATACAATTTAACATTTATAAAAGAAAGTTCATTTGTCTTAAGAGAAAAAACAAAATTTTCTTATACAGTAATATGAATCTAAATAAACAAAAAAATTTTTAGTCAAAAAGTGAATTTTTCAACTTTAATTGTAATTAATTCTATAATTTTCAATAGAATATATACTTCATTTACATCAATCGATTCGTCTTGATGCAAAGAATCAGATTTTTTATTTATTTCTCAATAAATAATAACATTCTATTGTACAGCAACATGATTTTTAAGAAAAAATGAATTTTTATTAAAAGTGCAAATTTTTTGTCTATAATTGGTTTTAATTCTATAAATTTAAGTAAAATATATACTTTATATATACCAATCGATCCGTCTTGGTGTAAAGAATAAGATTTTAGAAATAAATGAATAAGATTTTCTTATACAGCAACATAATTTTGCAGAAAGAACTCATTTTACATTCTCATCAAAAATGAGAAAGTCTTGGATTTGTGCGATTTTGAGCATTGTCTAATTTTGGTAAATCTTCACCAAAGGGGTCACCATAAGGGGTTCACCATAAGGGGGTCAGTTTCATGACCCCCTTATTCCAGAAAAATGGTTTTTAGAGAAGTGTCTGTCTGTCTGTCGTCTGTCTGTAGAAAAATTTGTCTCCACGATAACTCGAATAAATTTTTATGAATCGATTTGCAATTTGGGAAACTTTTTAGTCCATAAAAATGAAGCCTGAGTTCGTTGGGCAGCCCATTTCGTCAAAAAACAACAAAAATACAAAATTTTAAAAATTTCAAAATTTTGTATTTTTTACAATTTTCAAAAAAATATTTTTTTTAAATTTTTTCCTTAAATTTGGTGCAAAAACAAACAACTTTTCCCTCAGACACTTTTCAGTACAACAAAAAACAAAAAAGTTATGAATTTTTTTTTTTTTTTTAATTTGCTATTTATTGCTTTTTTTGGACTTTTTGTCAGCCTTCTCTTCAGTAGAAAATTTGTCATATTGGGGCCGTGTTAATAAAAATTAGTTCACATTATGCCAATACAGCTTTCTTAACATTAGAATCGACAATTGCATCTTTTACACAAATTAAAAAAATTTTTTTCCAAAAAAGTGCAAAAAATTGAGATTTATAGTGAGTGAAGCATTAGCCGAAACATGAGAAAACATTAAAAACATATCGAAACCTTCCTTTTTTTCTTTTAAATGCCAAATTTAGGTAAAAATACAAAATTAGGAACAAAAAAGAACTCAAAAGTTTCCAAAATTCTGCCTTTTTTTGATTTTTTTCATAAAATTTGCTTTTTACATTCTCATCAAAAATGAGAAAGTCTTGGATTTGTGCGATTTTGAGCAATGTCTAATTTTGCTAAATCGCGTTTACGTTTCATGACCCCCTGATTCCAAAAAAATGGTTTTTAGAAAAGTGTCTGTCCGTCTGTCTGTCTGTCTGTCTGTCTGTCGTCTGTCTGTAGAAAAATTTGTCGCCACGATAACTCGAATAAATTTTTATGAATCGTCTTGCAATTTGGCACACTTTTTTAGTCCATAAAAATGAAGCCTGAGTTCGTTGGGCAGCCCATTTCGTCAAAAAACAACAAAAATACAAAATTTTGAAATTTTCAAAATTTTGTATTTTTGACAATTTTCAAAAAAATATTTTTTTTGTATTTTTTTCCTTAAATTTTAAACAAAATCAAGCAATTTTTCCTTGAGACACTTTTTTGTACAACAAGAAAGAAAATAGTTATGAATTTTTTGACATTTTCAAAATTTTCAAAATTTTGTATTTTTGACAATTTTTTAAAAAATATTTTTTTTTATTTTTTTCGTTAAATTTTGAACAAAATCAAGCAACTTTTCCTTAAGGTACTTTTTTGTACAACAAAAAACAAAAAAGTTATAAATATTTTTTTCAAAAAAGTGCAAAAAATTTTGAGGTTTATAGTGAGTGAAGCATTAGACAAAACATTAAAAAAACATTAAAAACATGTCAAAACTTACATTTTTTTCCAGATGACAAATTTAGGTTAATATACAAATTTAGGGACAAAAAAGAACTCAAAATATGCCAAAATTTTGATTTTTTAAAAATATTTTCGTAAAATTTGCTTTTTACATTCTCATCAAAAATGAGAAAGTCTTGGATTTGTGCGATTTTGAGCATTGTCTAATTTTGGTAAATCTTCACGTTTCATGACCCCCTGATTCCAGAAAAATGGTTTTTAGAGAAGTGTCTGTCTGTCTGTCTGTCGTCTGTCTGTACACTGAAAAAAAAAAGTATTGAACCAAGAAAATTTTTCTTGGTTGAAGCAAATCGTGGGATTGAATACGGCCAAGACTATTAAAGTATTGATTCAAGAAAACGATTTTCTTGACATAGGATATTTGGGAGAAGAACATATATTCTTGATCCAAGAAAATATGTAATTCGACCAAGAAGTTAGTCTTCTTATACGAAGTATGAAATGTATTAAATGAATAAAATATTTTCTTGTTCTAAGAATATATATAGTTAATTGAATTATTTTATTTGATTCATTCAATTTTTTGTAACGTTCGTTCAAGTAATTCAAGATTTAAATGAAGAAAACATTTATTTTGTGAGAAGAACAGATATTCTTGATCCAAGAAAATATGGAATTCGATCAAGAAGTTAAGTAGCATGTAAGAAATGCAGAATATATTAATTCAAAATCATTTATGTATCAAATCAAGAAAGTATGTTCTCTGTCCAAGAAAATATTTTCTTGATTTGAGAAAATTTATAGATTTCAATCAAAAAAATACTTTCTCAATACAAGTAAATTATTTACTTAAATTACCCCCCCCCTTACCCCCATCCCATCTTTTCTAATACTTAGGTCAAACATTTTTATTATTTAATTAATTAACATTTATATTTTTTATTTAAATAATTGTTATTTTACATATATATTTACATTTAATTAATACTTATCACAAATACAACATTGTGTTAAGTAAAAAAAAGTTTCAAAGCAAATAAATAAAATGATTCGATTCAAGAAACATGAATTCTCCACACAATACTTTATTATTTCGCTTAAGAACATGATATTCTAGATTCAATACTTTTTGGTACTTCGGAAAAGTAAAATATTTGGTTGAAATAATTACATATTGAGTTCTGCCAAATACTAAATTGTTAATTCAAGAATTCTGTTCAATGCTAATATTTACTTGACACAAGAAAATGAATTTCTTTCTTCAAATAAATATGGGATTAATTGAATGTAATTTTTAATCAACTTGAAACAAATATTTACACGGAAAAAATAAGTTCAGCAGATTTTACGAAACTAATTTCGCACTAGCGGATATTTAAGATTCCTTGACGAAGTTTTTCAAAAACCCAGAAACTTTCACTACTTTAAGCAGAACAATTTTCGAGAAACTGCAACCAGTGTTGTAATTTATAAAACAAGCTTGAATGTAGAAATGTTTCGTATTTTCTGGTGAACATTTTATTAGAAAATGGTAAAAATGTTTCGTGCAATCTAAAAACGCGTGGTTTGAGTTTCCACTTCGCTGTCTATCGTGAATTCTCGAACACAAAGTTTCGTAAAATTCTATACGGGGTGTACCAAAAGTCGCGTTATAAATAGATATGTTGAAGCTTGTCTCGTCGCGTCGGTATTAACTTGTCTGCTGTATATAGAGATAATATGTGGAAGGAAAAAGAGAACTGCTTTACCTGCCGGTAACATTTGGATAATTGTTTTCTTTTACGTATTTCACATTTCATTGTTCCAAATTCGTAACATTTTTTATGTGATTTTGTAATCCAAACTTTTAATTATTATTAATTTCTTTTAATTTACATTCCAATAAATTTTATAGTTTATC